ATTTCAACAGTTCACTTAGAATGTCAAAAATGCATATGAAGGAATTACTTCATGCACTTGTATTCATAATATATGAGCAAATACAATGCAACACTCCGTTTTATTGAGCCTACATCTTGCGAAATCTTAAGCTCGAACAATCAAACCCTGAAAATTACCATCGAACTGTCCTCATACCCATTTTTTTTATTTGCTCTCAAACATTATCAAAATCCATAAAAACATATCAAATACAGTTCATAGATCAAAATGACGATAATTCGAATTGATTTGGAAGTCTCGTAGAGAATCAAATCCTCACTTCTACTACTGATTAGCATAATTAGAAGATATTATCTCATTCTGAAATAATGGTGATAATAGGAGCACATTAGTTGTAAGTTGATGAAATAGGAATACCTGATTCTATCCAGTATTCAACAATTCCCACTAGTGGATTCTCGTTACCATTCGAGAACTGAACATCATCGCTGTTCGGGTCTGGATGCTCAACTAAACGCTCTTTCAACGCGTTCAGAATCTCCAGTGGTCCGTGTCGAGCGAGATGCTCCAAAGATTCACTCGTCAGAATGCCTTGTGCATTGCGTGAATACCAATTGATGTCTGATGCTAGAAGCTCATTGAATACCTGCAAGTAAAATAGTTTCTTGAACAACAAATTCTGTATTGCACTTTAGAAATTTCCCTTTAAGTTCGATTGAAGAAATGCTATCTTTGAGAGGAAGATTATACGACGGAGATGGTAATTTTGTGACAGTGTGCGATTCGGTTCACTTTTAAATTAGAGATTTTGAAGAACTCAGAGAATCCTTTTGAATTGTAATCTATTCAACTCGCAACCGAAACCATACCCTGAGTATACGTTCATCAACTGAAGTCGATTCGAGATTTTTTACGAACGCCTCGAAAATCCTCATTTCACCCACAAGCACTTTCTTTTCAGCTATAGCTTGTGCAGTTCCTGTAAGTTTTTAACTCATGGAAATGCGGTTAGTTGATGGCAACACTCTCCATCCTCATATTTTCTTAGTATCATTAGCTCGTCCGGGCCTAACAGGGTTTTCACTTGTTGTCACTGTAAATGCAATTAATTGATGGCAACACTCTTCATTCTCCTATTTTTTGAGTATCATTAGCTCGTCCTGGCCTAACACTATCGTTAGCTTGTCCGGGCCTAACAGGGTTTTCATTCGTTTTAACAAAATTTTCATTCTTTTCCGGACCTAACAGGGTTTTCGTTCGTTTTAACAGGATTTTCATTCTTTTCTGAGTACAATCGCTCTCATAGCTTTTATCACCAAAAGTGTTCTCTTCTGCTATTTTCTCATTCATTTCATTCAACAATTAAAGTCAAATTCTCATTCTATCAAATACACTCTATAATCAATCATTTGACAGTCGAATGTTGTTGAGCAATGATGTTTGATTGTAGTATTGTTGGTCTCAGCTGTCAACACTCGTCAACATATCCAGTAAACAATATGTGCTAAAGAATAAGAAATTGATTCGAACAGTGAAGTGAAATGAGACGAAGTGAATGATAA